GTTGGGTCCTGAGCAGACTAGCGCTGTGAGAAGCCGAACAATTCAGAACAACCTGCATCTGGTCCGCACGGTCATAGAGGGTGTAAAAGACGACGATGAGGCCGCGTTGATCAATTTAAATGTTCAAAGCATTTGATAGGGTTGACCATCGCTACCTTGCGGCTGTCCTGCAGGCATCATGTATCACTCCCCCAGTACTCTGGTACAGGTGAACGGGAAGCTGTCAGGCCCTTTTGTGCTGTCCAGGTCGGTTCGTCAGGGTTGTCCATTGTCGCCCGTACTCTATGCTTTGGTGTTGGAACCCTCCTTCGCCGGCTAAGGGACAGGGCGTGCAATCCGGCCCTACGTGGAATCGCCGTTCCTGGAGGGGCTCGAACCAGGTGTTCCGCGTACGCCAATGATGTATCTGCTTTCGTGTCGTTCCGCAGCGACATTGAGGCGGTACTGAAGGTGCTTGATCGGTACGAAAAGGTAACAGGGGCCAAGATTAACCGTAACAAGTCGTCCAGCTTGCGGTTAGGTGCCTGGAAGGGGGTCGATCTTCCGGGGCTCTTCGGTTGGACAGACGGTCCTGTTCACATTCTTGGAGTGTGGTTTGGACCCGACCTCCAGCTAGAGAAAAATTGGTCTGAAGTATGAGCAAAGATCGACACGTTCCCTTACCTTACTATCACCCCCCACCCCATCTCGCGGCTTGAGCGCTATCCTAAATCCCGGGATCAATCGGATTTCCTTCGCGAGTGCCGGTCGGCCTTGTTGGCTGTTCCTCGGTCCAGTGACTTTTGTCAGCCTAGGAATGTCTTCTATTGTTATCTAGTGGAGGGGGTCGCGAAGGATTCTCTACGTGAGCAAGTTCAAGTCGAAGGAGGAGTTTCGCTCTTTCTGGTCTTGGGCGCCAGCGGCGGATTATCTCAGTAACTCTGAGTTTTCGCTTACCTGGCGATTGGCTCGGGATTGGCTGCCTCTCAATGACAAAGTCTTCATATGGGGCTTGGCGGATTTGCCAAACTGTGAACGGTGTGGACTTGGTCTAGAAGAAACGGCTTCGCACGCCTTCTACCATTGCCCCTGCGTCTGCCCCTTATGGGACCATGTCGGCGAGTTGACGGCTCATCCCGCTCCCGAAAAGCTCGTGCTCATCGATCGCGCATACGCGTGTGACAATGCGTCGCCGTCGTATTCTGGGGTGAAACGAATGGTGTTTCTGATGCTGCTGGCCACGGCCCGATTGGTGATTTGAACGATGCGACAGAAGGAAGTCTTGCGAGGCAACTGTCTTTCTCATCAAGATCTGATCCGATTCTTTGAGCATCAGCTCAAGATGAAGATCTGAACTGATAAAAAACGCTCGACAGTCTTTAGCGAAAGGTGGGTGATTGAGGCGAGCTTGGTTCGTTTGAACGGGGCTAGCCTGGATTTTTTCTTTTAGGTCAACCTACGTCACATCGGGGTAGTTTACTGCGGAGCCCTCTCATTGGTTAGGTTAGACAAGCCTTTTGTACCTAGTTAATGTGAGTAAGTGTTGTCCCCTGCTACGTCTTTGGTTATGATCCATGTTGAGGTTCCCAACCTATCAACTTTGTTTTGGCCCACTTTTATCTCGACTGGCTCAGCTTTTTATTTCCCCATGTCTATATTTTTTTTATCCTTTTTCACTTCCTTAGCGATAGAGCCTCTTGATTTCGTCCAATGGGTAGAATACAGCGGCCTCTCCTGTTTGAGGGTTGGACGGGCACTACTGACATCAATTATGTTTAGTTTACATTGTGTTGATTTTTTGTTTATTATTGGGTTCATCTCCCTCCCCTCTCGTTTTTCATTATTAGAATCTTATGTATAATAATTTATTATCATTAAATTTTTATGCCATAGGGCGCATTTTGTAGGCCCTCCTTGAGAGGATGTGGTATTGTGGTGTATGGAGGAATAAGTGGTGACGGACGAGTTTTTATGGTGAATGTGAAAATTGTAATGAGTGAATGGGTCGTGAATCGGATTAGGTAGGTATAGAATAGTTAGTGTCGACCACCCTCAACCCCTCCCCTCTTTTAGGCCATGTGCCACAATTATATATTTCATACAATAAATATTCCAGATGAATCGCAGTCAGACAGTTCGCTGCCACAGTCATAACTGACTTGTCGAACTCTCTACCTTCGGGCAGAGAGGAACCTAGACGAAACTATACCGAATGGCAAAGTCTCGTCCGGGAAGGTAAACAAACCCGACGCTGCGTCTGCGGGCTCTACGGGGAATTTTTGCCCGAGCCTACGGGCTCGGAATCGCCCCACATAAAAGTCAGCTTTGTGCCACACCGTGCCTTGTAGGGAGGTTGGTAAATATCAGACAAATCGGAGTCAGGCAGGTCGCTACCAGGCTCACGACAGGCGTCTCGAACTCTCTGCTTACGGGCAGAGAGGAAACCAGTACGTAACGCGTACATACGGTCCATCGCTACCTCTTTTGCACCAGAGATTACTTATGCCATGATGAATCTAAAAATGGTGAATTGCTACCTTATCTAGGCTGGACTGTCCAGTCCACACATTCCAGAATTGACAGAGATCGAAATCGTTTTTGTTATCTTGAATAGTTGGTTCTTTCTCCGATGCAACCCATTTCTCGCAGAGCCAACGTCATTCGTCTATCGCTATCTCTATGGCAGATGTTCAGACGTGCTTCATTCTTTAGTGTCACCAGTTCAGACCTTTCCAGCCAAACCTCGCCTTGCTACGTCGGCAGGGTTGAATCATCTTCATAACTTACTGCTAAAATGAGATGTTCCACTCAGGCTGCTTCTTCCCCAGAACCTCTCCTTTGTGGAACAGAATCCCTCTTGTTTGCTTTCTGAAATAGTACAATATTAATCTCTTTAATCTAGGATCTATCGTTATCAAACCCTATTATACTTATAATATTCATTTCATGCTTTCTACTCTTACGTTCATATCATACGCAGCATTCACTGACTATCAAACTTGAGTGGTTCTTGGGACTTTTATCTGGGCAAACGTCAATACAAAACGTCCTCGAGTACTTCTTTTAGCACTAGGATGGCCGAGGCGTCGTTGTCGACAACTTCAAATTTTCAACAAATTCCTATGGAATAACTAGTTTTGGTTCGATGCTGAGGCTTATGGACAATTATTGAATTTTAGCAAAGATGCTTAACAGACTTAATTCTTTAAAAACAATATTCAGTGGAATAGCTGATATTTGAGGTTTTTCCCTTGAATGGCCGAGATGTCGTTTTTGACACCTAGGCTATTTATAGAGTAAATGCATTGAAAATTTTCTCACAAGCAATAATACTTGTGTTTATGTCCCTATCTATCTATCTATCTATCTATCTATCTATCTATCTATCCACACACATAATTTATATATATATATATATATATATATATATATATATATATATATATATATATATATATATAATCACTTTCTTTCAGTATGAGGTATACTAATATTTGTGAATTTCTTTTCAGACTTGTTATTACTGACTTGAATATTGAATATATTAAAGATGGCTGCTTCATGGCGTAATGTAAATAAAGATGTCAAAGGAGCTGGCCATCCTAGGGTTAATATGTAAAATGCGATATCTACAGACAAGAAGAAAAATCTAACTGACTTTGATAAAGTCGAAATTGTTATGACCTGAAAACTAGCACTTTTGAAACGATACGATTTGTGATTCAGTTGTGGTTAGTATGTATGCGTGCAATGAGCTGTGGAGAAAACAATGATTATCTGCAGTCGATGTTTATCGATGTGAAAAGTGACGATTTACCGTCAAACCTAACCAACAGAACGGATACTGTAACATAAATTGTAGATATCTTTAATGAACACAGAGTTCACCGATAACGTTCTTTTGTAGAGGGTTGTGTAACCGCAATACATTCACATTATATAACGATATTTATTGTACTTACCAGAAAGTGTCCTCAAATTGGCAGGTGAAGATCGGAAACAGAACTTTGTATCAGATCGCTAAATTCGAAGATATTTAAGCTATTTCCTTAATCGAGTTCACCCCAAGAAAAGCAGTAAAGCCACTAAGACAATGGATTACCGAGTGTGGAAGAATTAGAAAACAGAAACAATACTAAAGAGCAAGAACAAAAGAAGAGTAATCAGGAGGAAAGTAGATAGGAATTGGCATTGGATTTAAATTTTTGAAGATTAAATTTGGTTGAAAAGCATTGAGCTGAAAGGGAGTTCCACAACTAAGAAGTACGAGAACAGAAACATAGAACTTACGTTTACATGTCGCCATCTCAACTGTAAATTGATGAGACCTGATCTCCAGTCCAGTACACTGCTTACATTTTCTAAAAGAAATCTAGGTAAAATAGCGAAGGGCTTATCCGAAGAATTACAAATTAGGAAAGGCAAAGGGAAGTAAATTTACGGCGGTAGGAAACCGAGATGCCAGATCAGGAATAATAATATTTCTGATTCTTCTTTGGATTTTATCTAGCTATAGGATAAAATTGAAATCGTTAACAGGAATTCTATTAACCGAAAAAAAGAATGCAAGTTCGAACGAACGTAAGAGACGCACAGAGTACTTTGCTATCTCACCAGTTCAAGAATGTCAATGCCTGCAAGAAATAAGACGACGATTATATATTTATTTCCTAATGTAATTTACAAGTAGTCTCATATTTACTTTCATTTACACTCCCTATCGATCTCACATTTGTATATACCAAAATACATTCGAGACAGACTAATGAATTTATGTACATAGGCAGACGTACACTCACGTCTATGTACATAACTGTCCCATTGAAACAGACGTAATTTTCACAGTAATCAAAAAAGCGACATTCGTCTAGTCAAATGAATGTACGGTACCTGTAAACCATAGCAATTACTAAGCTTAGATTCGTCTGGGAAAACTTGTATATTTATCGAAAAAATCAAATCTCACCTGCCAATACTAGACAGGTAGATCGTCCCAGTGAGTTCGATTTTCACTCGATACTCTACTTGTATAACCTTGAACCAGACTTGAAAATGCTTAGTTCATATATACATTTTGGTGTAGAATGATCGTTAGCAAATGAAGTCGAATAATGAACAAAAGACAGGGAGGTAGGAAAGGAGAGAGAGAGAAAGAGGGAAAGATAAAGGTAGTGAGAAATGAAAGGTGATGAAGAAGAGGGACAATAGAAAAGAAAGGTAGAAAGAGAGAAAGATAAAGGAAATGAGAAATAAAAATTAACGGAGAAGTAGACAACGGAAAAGAAGACAAAAATAAACTGTGAAGAAGATATATAATAGAAAATAAATAAAGAGAGAGAGACAGACAGACAGACAGACAGAGACAGAGAGAAACAAAAGACAGAGAGAGAGAGAGAGAGAGAGAGAGAGAAAGAGGGAAAGATAAAGGTAGTGAGAAATAAAAGGTGATGAAGAAGAGGGACAATAGAAAAGAAAGGTAGAGAGTGTGAGAGAGAGAGGGAGTGAGATAAAAGAAGAAAGAAATAAAAATTAATGGGGAAGTAGACAACGAAAAGGGAGAGAAAATAAACAGTGAAGACGATATAAAATAGAAAATAAATATACAGAAAGAGAGAGAGGGAGAGACAGAGAGGAATAAAGAGAGGAGAAGAGAGAGACTGGAAATGAAAGAAAGCGAAAGAGGTATCTGAAACGGTAAATAAGAAAAGAGACAATAATGGAGCAATAAACAAGAGAGAGTGAGAGAAAGATAGATAAATGAAGAAAAAAAAATGTCCAGGAGAAGAGAGAGAATAAGAGAGAAAGACATAAGAAGCGACAGAAAGATAAAAAGGAAGAAAGCCAAATAGAAAAGGAAAGAAAACGAACGGAAAATAAATAACTTGCAGAGATTGAAAAGACACTGGTGCATAAATTAAATAGGGAGAAAAGAGAAAAAGAGACAGAGAAAAGAGAGAAAAGAAAGAAAGAATGAACAGACGAAAGAAAGAAAAAAGTGGGAGAGATAGGGTGGATCTAAAGAAGACATGTACAAGCAGAATTAATTTGAGAGGCGACACGAATCAAAGATTTCGCTGTAAAGACGGAGAAAATTAAAAATTGGTTACAAAAAGAAAGAAGTTTTATTTTAAGAAGTTAAAAACAACCCAGACATTATCTTACGTTTAGCGTAAATTCTCTTTTACAGACAGCATTAAAGAATTGAGTAAATTGTCTGGTCGATTCTAGTACTAGAGACGGCAATCGATTACAAAGACGGTCTTCTCTGATGTTGTTTGTTCTTTTGGAATGAATAAATAGAAAATATCGGGACAATTAACGAAAGGACTTTGAGGCGCGGGCAATTTTTCAGAAGAGATTTTCTCTCCGTCATTTTCGGCACAAAACCAAAAATAAAGACGCTCGAAAATGATGACCAGAAAGAGTCAAGATTCTTTTGTTCTTGGTTCATTTATTCTGCTATTCTGTTAATCGGAATAATTCTTTTTCGTTTACTTATTTTTTTTCTATCTGCGTTTCTTTGCCATTTTTTTTCGGCTTTTATAATTTTCCTCATTGATTCGCTTATTCGAGTTTGCATTGAATATTTGATTTTGTTTATCTCTTCTTCCTTTATGAACGTAGGCGATCATAAATCTCCACAGCTTTCCGTCTTTTGATGGTCTATGCAATTTCTTATTTTTCATCATACCTCTTTCTGTGGGTTGTGCCAGCCGTTCGCAAAACATATCAAGTCAGCGACTTGTTAGTTTTTCCTGTTTCTCTTGCCAGTATTATTATGATTTTCTAACTTTAACTTAGACGTGGCTCAAGGCCAAAAGTATGGGGCACCCAGTAGAATCGAACTCACTACTAAGTCGTAATTCTTCTAGTGAGACAAGATGGCTAACGATTACCCCACGTCGTAGCGAGCCTTGTAATTTTCTAAGCGAAACTTAGATGTGACACAAGGCCGAAAGTATGGGGCGCCCAGTGAATATCGAACTTACTACACAGTAGAAATTGTTCTAGCGGGACAAGCTTGCTAACTATCACACCACTTCAAGGTACCCCTCTTGACGTTAATATGACCTGAGAATGTTAGGTTTTCCTGGTCATCTTTTCTCATAAGTTCCATAATGTTCAACTGTGTCTTTCTCATGGTAAGTAGAAATTTCCTTGCTGTCCCTATTTGAATTCTTCTTTTATCTACAATGTCCTTTCAGTAATTTGCCTTTTGGTGCTCTTTCACCAATCCCACAAGGGAGAAATATGCAAATAAACGAAACTGCTGAAAATTCTCGGCTCAATCAGAGAAGTATACCCTCGTAAATTCTAATGTTTGGTCGGATTTTGGGAAGTGGGTGAGACCGGGTAATTATCAGTTATCTATCTATCTATCTATCTATCTATCTATCTATCTATCTATCTATCTATGTATCTATCTATTCATTATCTATCTATCTTTTCATTATCTATCTATCTATCTATCTATCTATCTACATTTTTCATTATCTATCTATCTATCTATCTACATTTTTCATTATCTATCTATCTAACTATCTATGTATCTACATTTTTCATTATCTATCTATCTATCTATCTATCTATCTACATTTTTCATAATCTATCTATCTATCTATCTATCTATCTATCTATCTATCTATCTATCTATCTATATATCTACATTTTTCATTATCTATCTATCTATGTATCTACATTTTTCATTATCTATCTATCTATCTATCTATCTATCTATCTATCTATCTACATCTTTCATTATCTATCTATCTATCTATCACAATGATAATGTTACGCTTTTAAGGTAAGAGGTCATTGTAATTAACGTTTGCAATATCCACATTAATAGCAATAAATAAAAATAAACCATCAACTTATCTGTCAGTACTTTGGGTTTCGTGGATGCAGTATCTTTTCCTCAGGGTGCTAGACAGTACAATCTAATGCACATTAATGCACAATTTCAAATTAAATTGTGTCATGCAATAAGATTTTTGAGATAGAACAAATTAAAATGAATCAACGTGAAAAATTATCATCTTTTTATGGAAAAAAAGTAAAATCTTTTAAGAAAAAATGATTTCTGAAAATTAATTCAATTTTACTATCAAGCACACTAAAAAGTAGGGACAGATAAGTTGAATTATTAATTTTATTTCTATCTGATGAAGATGGAGCTTACCCAGCAGTAATGGTCAAGCAAATCAGCCCGAATAATCATTATTCCATTCCAAGGTGTCCACATCAAGATGTCAAACAAGAGCAAACAAGCAAAGAGTAAAACAAAACGGAATAATACTCATTTAAGTTTCATTATTTCACCCATCTTTACAAGCGAGTATGGGTATAGACAAACAGATCAAAGTAAAGACATACAGATATATCGTAATTTGATTACAGAGTCGAAATTAAGAAATACAGTAGATATTATTGAGGAATATTTTGATTTTAATAAATGTGCGAGGAGACAATTCATTGTTATTAGCAAAAGAAAGAGCCCAGCATGCAAATTAAAAATTGTAGATAACAAAATCAAACAAGCACAATTTTAAATGTATGGGAAATGTTTTAACAGAACCTAGTCAACTGGTGAACCTAGTCAACTGGCGAACCTAGTCAACTGGTGAACCTAGTCAACTGGCGAACCTAGTCGATTGGCGAACTTAGTCAACTGGTGAACCTAGTCAACTGGCGAACCTAGTCAACTGGTGAACCTAGTCAACTGGTGAACCTAGTCAACTGGTGAACCTAGTCAATTGGCGAACCTAGTCAACTGGTGAACCTAGTCAACTGGCGAACCTAGTCGATTGGCGAACTTAGTCAACTGGTGAACCTAGTCAATTGGCGAACCTAGTCAACTGGTGAACCTAGTCAATTGGCGAACCTAGTCAACTGGTGAACCTAGTCAATTGGCAGAATCACAAAGAAAGAGCTGTAACAAATAACAAAAAAATACCTTTTGGACTTTTAAATGGATATGGCATATAATTCAAACAGTAAATAATGACATAAACAAGATGTTGATGTTCCACATGAATTCAAACAAAAGACAAGGAAGGAAGCCCATATTAATAATCGAAAAAACGATAACAATTACTGAATTTGTGTAGGTTATTTTTCTGAAATATTTTATGCGTAGATAGGTTTTATAAATTTCAATCGAGTATAGAATTGGCAGCTCGGTAAATGAATGCTGAGTGTTTCTTTAAGAGGAAAGTGTTACATTATTTACATTATTCTTTATTTACTCTTTTAGTTCCACGTGCCATGGATGTCAGCTATCAGTTATCACCTGTTAATTTTCCCTCTGAAAGTTCTCCACTGCCTTAACCGGGCATTGAACTCACTAGAAAAGTCTACCCCAGTGAGCGAAATAAAGGGTTCAGTTCGACATTCCAACCACCTGAAAAAGGCCGGAGCGTACAACGGCCGAAACGTTGTGATAAATATAGCGACAAAGATGAGGACAATAGTCCGAATAATGTAAATAATGTACATAATACCTCATTTCAGAAATATAGACAGGAAAGCGTTAATATTACCATTACAATATTTACATGCGCATATAAAACCTTGCGCGTTGAAAGTTACTATTTTGCAAATGCCGGAGACGATAACGTGCGTATATTACTTTTGTTGGAAGAGTCCTCGCCAATATGCTACTTAATCCATAATGTTTTCTTGTGACACAATTTTGTGATAATCAATTCACATGTATATTGTTTGAAAAGGGTAGGTTTTATCTCATTTGTTTATCAGGCTTTCTTGAAAAGAGAAAATATTATGGCGGCTGAAAAGAAAAAAAAATACCCAAGGATATTTGCATAGTTAGGTCTAATTCTGTAACGTCTAAAAACGAATGGGTCCAATAAAAATCTAGACATGGACATGCTTGGGGAGGAATTTTTGGTTACATTCAATTTATGTCTGTGCCTACCAGTATGAATATAAATGAGAAATTAATGAACAAATAGAATATAAAGAGAGAGAAATGTCGTTAAATATTTACTGATAAGGGACACATGTTAGAACGGGAAAGAAACAGTTGAAAATTCCTGGATATTTAATGAGGAAATATGGCTTGGAGAATATGATGGGATTTATTTATGGCAATTAGGGAAAGAGGAAAGCAGAGAACAATCTATCTAAAGTGCTCGTGTAAATGGGATGAGAGAACTGGGATTGTGCATGATTGCGAAAAACAATACTTACTGAAACGTGAAAAGGTCAGGTAGTTGTGGAGAGTCATGATCGCCAACGTTCTGAATGGAGACTGCATATAGAAAAAGATGCATAGAATCAGAAAGTGAGTCGAAATTTCTTGGATACATAATGAGAAAAGAAGGCATGGAGAATGCAGCACTCACGGGATTTATTGCTGGCAAATGAGAAAGAGGAAACCAGTTTGTAATCTAGCTAAGGAGCTCGTGTAAAAAAACAAAAACAAAAACTCCTAACTAGAGGTGACAAACAGTAATTTAACTTCGTGTAAATCTCAGCAGCTGAATTAGCTTCTAAATTAGGCCTAGGCTCTTTTTCTCTGCGAAAGACGCCCATTTCAAAGATCAGATTTTAACTGAAGCCTGCACACAGTATTAAGGTATCTTGTGTTTCCATGAGAACGTCGGCGATTATGGATTTGCATAACTTCCTTTCGTTTGAAGTAATAAGTAAGCATTGTCTATTTTACTACCTCACTTTGTCCTTTTCTACTCTTTATTCACTCAAACTCGTTAAACAGGTTACTCATTGGTTCCTTTGTCTTCTCTTGCCGACATTATGTGGAGTAAATATTAAATTTGCAAATATCTCTCCCATTATTATGCCCCGTTAAAACGTCCCTGGTACTCATTGTCCACAGTCTTCTCAGTAATAGTTAGTAAAATCACATCTCTGTCGCTTATCCTGATTTTGTAAGCATAGCTTAGGTGTAGTACAAGGCCAAAAGTATTGGAAACCCAGTGAGCATCGAACTCACTATGCAATCATAATTTTTCTAGCGAGGCAAACTTGCTATCACGTCGAAGTACCCCATCTCTGTTGCTTATGTCTTTTTTTTCATTTGTGGAGATGTTGTCCAACACTCACTGTTCTATAGGAGAATAGATATTACAAAGATGTTTAGCATTCTTCCCCTTGTTTCTAAGGACATTTTCCTATCTTTTTGATTAGTCTGTAGAACGAATCTTTTTCTATCGCAGTATGCATTTGAATTTCAGTGTAACACCTCCGCCATCGTCTGTTACTACATTATCCAGGTAGTCAAACATTTGTACCTGCTTCAGTTTGACGTTTCTATACGTAGCTGGCAACTCTGTCTCTTTTGTAGATGATCATACATCAGGAACTATTCACAGAAATAAGAAGTGTTAT